CCTGGGCCAAGCAAGTCCTTTATCTTGGGGTGATCCTCACTAATACACTCACATGGAACCCACACATCACATCTATTATACAGAAGTTTCGAGTGCGCAAAGTTCATCTCTTCCCCCTAATTGCTCGAAACAGTGTTTTATCCTTAGATAACAAGTTACTCATTTATAAGTCCGTTCTACGTCCATTACTTTGTTATGCATGCCCAGTCTGAGCTTATGCCTGTAAATCAAATAGAAAAATTTTACAAACGGCGCAGAATTGTGTTCTCCGCTGAATTACAAACTCTCCTTGGTACTTGGCAATAGCCGCATCCACGAGGAACTTAACGTCGCATTACTTAGAATGAACTACTACAACCTTACCGAGCAATTTCATGAAAGCCAGGCTAAAAACAACAATGCAACTATGATGAATTTGAAAGACAAGAGGTAGCGTAATTAAATTTATTTGGGTTCTCGGCTATATGCAAAAAATAAAAATAAACTTATAAAATATTGTTCTCACAGTAGAAGGAGGGGAAAATATATAACAACAACCCGACGGTGTAGATAAGGTTTCTGTTTAGAATTGATTCAAGATCACCAAAGTTCTGTTTGGAAATAGTTCAAGATGTTTGGAATACTTCTTGCACACGTAATTTTTAAGAGCGCCTTTTGATTCGCGAGAGCACCTTGATTAAAAACTGGATATGATGAAGACAGGACTGGGAAAAACTCCGTGAGAACATTCCGGTTCCAAATGGGGACTCAAATCGGTTGGTCTGAGACAATGCACCTATAGACTGATGAAAGGGAACGGAACAATGTTTCTCTTCGGACAACTATAAGAGGAACAAAAACTTGAGATTGTTTTGTGACTGCTGGTCACTTCATCTTTCTGAGAATTTGTTAAGAAATACTCTGTCCATGGGAACTTTCGAGATGGCCATTCTTTTTCTCAGAACTTCGTGGTGGTCGATCGAATAGCTGGATGTTACACAGCCATCAAAATCTGTGACTATGATTATAATGACCTGTCCAAGTTAAACAGACCCATGACCATCCTGAATATTTATAATATGTAATCTGGTCGTTATTGGATCTTCTGCATTTAATCTATAGTTATTGTATATTCTTGCATTTTACTGACATTTCTGTTCCTACTGTACCTTAATTCTTTACTAGCAAGCAGCACTAAAACTTTTTGTACTTGCCAATGTGTTAACCCCTTTTATTAGGTCGAACGGCACACCTAAAAAGTTATGCTTTAATACTTATTATAACTTTATTGCCCAGTTAATATGAAGTGTCAATTAGGAAACTATTATAATTCGATTAGGGGTAGGGCCTTGTTGCCCAGGTGTTACACCGTTCAACAGTTTGGTTTGGTAGGAAGTTATCAATCAAGATCGCACGGTGACAAGGCCCGTCATCATCCATGAGTATGAATCCAGGACCAACAGTACCTTGAAACAGGCGAATATAAGTTTCAAGGCTGTCTGTGTGGCCATCCAGCATTACACCTGCCCACACCATGACTCCCTTTGAAGGAAAATTATGTCTTTCCGTGATATTTCTTGGGTGAAACGAGTTCCGTACTTTCTTCATATCGTCATGCAACAAAAATCAGTGTTCAGAGTAAAGCGAAACTTGTCACTAGACATCACGTTGGCTCACTTTTACAAACTTCAGGGCTGATGTTTCAGATTCCAGTTTAGACGAATGCGTTTATGGGCAGGCGTGATAATGCGAACGGCTGGTCGTCTGGCATACAGACCAACATGATGTAGTTTTCTATAAACAGTTTGCCATGAAACTCGCACACCTGTGGCAACTGTGAGCGCTGAACCAAGTTCTCTGGCAAATTGTTCCTCTGATGCAGTGCAGTTATAAGATCAGATATCGGTCTTGAAAAATGGTTGTTACTCCTAGTTGACCTTGTATTGGTCGTCGGGTAACATCTCCCATACCTCTGCCACAATCTTAAGATCACACACTAAGGCGCATTCAGAATTTCAGACACTGGGGGTTTAAGATCATTCACATTCCAGCATTCTAATTCTTCCTCTCAAAAACATGCCACTTGGCGTCTTTATCCTCTGGCCTTCTTGATCATTTAAGTCGCTCCCCAGCACAGCGATTGCACATAACCTGCCTGCTCTTTGGACTTTAGTACTTTCTTTTATGGTGGCGTCAGAGTGAACTGCATAACACTATTGCTAGCACCTCATAAGAATCCTTATGAAAGAACTGCATGCAAGATAAAAATAATGTAGGCCTGCGTAAATATTACGAACGAAGGAAAACTGAATAATAAATTTCGTGAGTTAGTAGGTGGGTAGCGTAGGGTCTAAGATTGAAATCTATTTCAAGTAATTCATATCTGACTTTGTCTGCGTAATTAACTGTCTGTGCAAATTGCTTTGTTGATCTTCGTATGGCACATGAAACGATTTTATACTCTTTCTGACTTGCGCACATGTTTTGCGCATGCCAATGTCAACTGAAGAGTTTTGTGTATGCACACTGTTTCACCTTCAAACAATGATACTCCAGAAGTGATTTTGAACAGTTTAATTAATATTTACTCATGTTCTTCCACAATTTAAGAATTATGCTTAACTTTTGGCTATCAGTGTAAATAATAAATATTTTTTCTGAATAAGAAGGAAAGAAACTGTAATTTCTGGATACCAGTATAAGTAATAAATATTTTTTTCTCAATAAGAAGGAAAGAAACTATCAAAAAATCATTATAATACAAACTTGATCTAATTTTTGAATTTAGTAAAAAAAAATTTAAATTAAGGTAAGGTGTTAAAGGTAATTTTTGTAAAAACGCATTTTCCCATACATATATTCTTCACATTTTGTGTGTAAAGAAACATTGTCTGCTGAAATGAACTTACGGTTTGATTTGTTTTTGTTTCTTGATTCAAAGGTCACAACTACTTATGAACAAAAGGAATTGATGCACTTTCCAAATTCAGTTTGTAGACTTTGGAAAGCATTTTATAGTAAAGTTCATGGGATTTCTAAGTAGAAACCACAACAGAATTCTGATTAATGGCTGAAAGTTCAAAATCACTAATGCGAAGACCATGTCACTTCCTGGGTAAGTTCTGCATAGTTCTGTTCAGTCTATGTAGCTCATAATCGTAAATCAACGTCAATACCTTAGTTACATAAACAAAGTTTAATATTAAAAATATTATACAGGGTGCTTTAAATTGTTTTTACAAATTAAGAGGCATGATAGTACTCATCCAGATCAGCAATAATTATTATAGCACATAGGGTCGCATTCCACTCTGAGAGGCAGAAATATTACAACCTGAACTTATAATAGTGTTGAGAGAGAGAGTGAAGGAGACCAAAAGTTGCACAATCAGTTTAGTGAAAAATTCAAAAAAGAGTGCTCGAAATGGATAAAACCGAGAACTAGACATTCGAGTGTTAATTCTTTGACTTTGATGGCAAACACTCAACTGCACATTTTTGGTTGACAAGGTTTCAACCTCGCAAACGACTGCAACAAGCTAATTATCTAATCAAGGGCTGAATATTATCAACTAACTCTAATTTCCGCTGTATGCCAAGATTAGCATGAAAAGTTCATGCTGTGTTCCGGCTGTCAGAACTTAGAAGGGCACTGTAAGTAGAATGAGCGCAGGATAGTAAGTCCAGGAGGACAGGATAGAAGATGGTGAAGCGGTAAAAATTGCTACCTTGAAACTTGATATCAAGGTAGCAGTTTTTCCCTCTAATAATTTAAATAATCAACTTATTGCAATTGTTTGCAAGGTTGAGACCTTGCCAACCAAAGAAGTGCATTTGAGTGTTTGTCATCAAAGTCTGAGCTCGAATCAACACTCGGAAGTCAAGTTTTCGGTTTTATTCATTTTTTAAATAATCAACCCTAATTTTGTGCACCCTGTGAATTTTTCACTAAACTGATTAAGCAACTTTTGGTCTCATTCATTTACTCTCTCAACACACTTCTGTGAGATTCTACTATTCCTCTTTTCTACCTCTCAGAGTGGAATGTGACCCTATGTTCTATGGTGATTATAGCTCATTTGAATGAGTACTAGCACCCTTCTTAATTTTTAAAAACAATTTAAAATCACCCCGTTTCTAGTAGCATGAAACTGCAGGACAACTGAGAAAAATTAATGTCATAATTACTTCTCTTAATACAAATGAATTATTTGTAACAAAAAAAATTAATCCAATCCACTTGAATTAATGGAAACTATACATTAAAACATGTGTTAAAATCTGATTGCAGGAAGATAATAAAGTAAGCCAGTTAATTTGTATTTAAATAACTTTGCTGCATATTACATCAGCACTACTCTGTATCAAACATAAACTGAGATATACCACATTGACAGCAAAGATAATTAATACGAATCAGTTGTTCAGCTACATATCATCGAGACTGAAAGCAATATTAAGATGATGAAATAAAAAAAATTAAATAATGATCAATATAGCTAATAAATTTTTACTATGTATTATTAAAAAAAAATTATTCTTGGTGTGTTGCAAACTCTTAAGTTAACAATTATAATTTCATTTTTTAAAAAGAATTTCTATCTTTATGTAGCCAATCTGATTTCATTCCTAACTGTTCCCTGAGGTAAATGCCTCATTTGCCTTATACTTGTCCAGGTTCTGTCTTTAATTTTTAAAAATTAGATTAAGAATTGAATAAAAGAAAGTGTACCAGAAGGGAACACAATAGTAGTAATAATACATTACTCATTAAAGATGCAATTTCTAATAAAGGAGAAAGATGAAAGTACTAGTTCTGAATGAAATTTAAATTTTCAAAATCATTAAACACTTCTATTAGTAAACAATATTTTTCAAATATTATTTTGGGTAAAAACAAAATACATGCAGGGAAATGTTAAAGAGGAAACTGATCACATAATTTGGGGTAAAAACAAAATACATGCAGGGAAATGTTAAAGAGGAAACTGATTCTCTTATAAAATAAATAAACAATAAAATTTTCTGTTTTGCCCCTTTTATTCAGTGATGAGCACACAAAAATACACTAGCCTTTTTTAAATTAAAAAATCAGTAAGAATACATATACTGAAACCTTTTTATTTATATTTCCAAAAACAACTTCACACAACATACTGGTCCATTCAGAGTTTAAAATGTAATTTAATTAGCAATACATTACTAATCAAAATTTATGGTACAAAGCCTACCATGAAACAAATTACAAGCTTCATTGAGATGTACAAACACTATGATTATTTAACACATTAAAACATTTATAAAGAGTAACATTTTTTTTTTTTTTTTACTTCAATCAAAAGCAAGCAAAAGAAGACATCTTAATTGTAAATATGACTTCAAGTGTCTAATTTTCATAAAGAATAAATATTTGCTTCACAATATTGATTTTGCTATGCAGTGGTGTGACAGCATTCGCTACAATACACAAGGACTTTGAATTTAAGATCATTAGTCAAAAGGTAAATATGAAATGTTTTTCTGTCATTACTCTCAACCCAACATACATAGAAAAATATGTCTCATATATATACCATATGGTTACAAGAAGTTCTTTTAACCTGCATATTTGCCAAATTATAAGCACAGATAATCATAACGTCTAAAAAATGAAATTTTCACTTGAGAAAGATCCCAATAGTAAAATGATCAAATGAAAGGTGCTTAAGGATTTAGGGCCATCTCTAACCACTGCAGTATTACCTAATACTGTAAAATCTCTGTTTAAATGCCAAACTACTTGCGTTAGCCATACATTAATGCATATTACACATTAATTTAGGGCATATGAAAACATTCTACTTCTTTGTCAACCTTTTCCTCATCAAAATACATGATTCAAAGAACACAGTTCAGTGATGTCATACTTCTTCCTCATCGTCTGGATAGTATTATTTCAAATTTCTAAATCCTGCTAAAAATAAAAAATAAATTATCAAAAGGATCATCATTTTCAAAAAAATTATTTATGTCATATAAGAAATGTCTTTCATACATTTATTTTAATGATACAATTTCATTCTCTTAGATAAACACAGACATACTGACAGTTTTAAAGTCTGGTAGCATGTAAACTCAAAACTTTGTTATTGCTATTAATGTCCTCTTTATTTGGAACTACCCTTGCAGAGACATTAGGTATTTTTCTGAAGCAGAAAAAGTGAAAAAGTGAGCAACGCCTTTTCCGGGAGTCAAACCTCTGGAATACGCGCCCAGCAGGCAAAACCACTACACCACGAAGGCAGTAGAAATACCTTATAAGTTAACATCGAAATATTTTAGGACTTCTATGTCAAATATGTAGGCCCACATGGATGCGGGCACAGTGCATTGGCTATGGCGAACATGGTTGGAACAAGGAAATGTGGGAAGAAGGAGGGGTGCAGGTGCAGCTAGAGTGACGTCAACGCACGTGGACCGACGCATCCGCCGACGAGTTGTGGCGGTCCCGCAAGTCACTTGTACCATGATTCTGTAGCATGTGCAAGATACCCTGGATGTTCCCTTGTCGACCAGAACCATTTCCCATCGATTGGTTGAACATGGCCTGCACTCACGATGTCCGTTAAGAAGACTGTCATTGACCCACAGCGTAGATGCCAACGTTTAGAATGGTGCCAGACTGGAGCAATGTGGATGACAGAATGGTGAAATGTCGTGTTTTCAGATGAGTCAAAGAATGCAAAATTTATGGAAGTGCAACAAAATTTTAATTTTCTTGTGGTGAGCACTGAAAATAAATGTCGAAGAAAATTAGGGAGAAAAGTAAGCAAAAATTTGAAGGGGAATTCAGCTGTAAGAAATACCAAGGTGTTTCGAAATGTTGGATGCTTTTGAATATACTTTCAGAATACTTCAAAGAATGGTGTTCAAAGAGAAAACACTTGGACATGTACACCAGCAACTGAGCTTGTGCTAACAGAAAACACAAAAATGATATCATTGCAGATTAAAGTGAAGGGCAACTGGTTTTCAACTGTATATTTGAATAAATTTAAATTGGGTTATAGAACATCATATCATCATAAACAGAGAATCCCATGATTACTTAGTCGAATTATTTGAATATTCAGGAATTTACGTAGTGATGTATGTGGATGTCACCTAAAGACGTTTTCCCACTAGATGAAACCAGTCTTTCCTTTCATCTAATGCCTTCAAAATGCTTAGCCTCTAAAGACTCTGACCAAACACTGATGAAATGGATTATTAAGCTACGACAAAGCAGGGCTATCTGCTTAAAAGGAGGGATGCCTTTGTGAAGAACTTTCTAAGCGAAACCAGCTGGCATACACGTTACAATAACAAAAACCATGAAAACGCCCATGCAATCAGACCATTTGCAGGATTCGAACCCGGGCTGAACTACCAGCGTTCAGCGACTTTACTGCTCGGTCGTTGGTGGGCCTTTGTGAAATGGAAGGCGATAATTTTAGTTAAAATGAATGTCAGAAACACCAAGATGTTTCGAAAAGTTGGATGTTTTTTAATATACTTGCAGAATGCCTGAAGAAAAAGAGCAAGCCATTAAGAAGGAAAAAATTAATTTTTGCATAAAATTTAGTATTTTTTAAAATGTTTTAATCTTATGATGTTTGATTCTTGCGAATTCAAAAAATAAAATAATTGATTAAAATATGAATAACATTTTAAGAAACTAAATGTAGGATGATAAAATTGTGTAAAGCAATGAGCACAATGTTAAAGCTATTTAAAGCAATATATGCATCCTAAGTTAAAATGTCGGTTATAAATCTTTCTCATTTATATATCTTTTCTGAATGGCGTGTTAACTGTGCTTTACTGTATTTTCTCTTTTAATATATTCAGTTTTCAGATGCATTGTAGTCTGGGACAAAGTATTCTTCCGAAAGCGCAATTCAAATAAATAACATCAAATCCTGGAAAACTTATATAAATAAATATATTTAAAATGCTCAGTTTGAATGAATAAATAGAAAATTTTAAAACAATTATCTGAAGAGACAATGCAACACAAACAATTAAAATAAAAATCTAAAAATTAAAAAAATACCTAAAATAATAAATATGGCCAAAAAAATAAATTATAAAGAAAACTGTTTGAAAAAAATAAATGATGCACCTTTTATTTAAACTATGCAGTTCGAATAGAAAATTTTAAAACAGCTATTCGAAAGAAACCACATAACTTAAACAATTAAAATGAAATTCGAAAAAGAAGAAATTACTTAAAATAATAACAATTATAATTAAAAATATAATGTAAAGAACATTATCAAAAAAAAAAAGGAACGATTGTGACTTTTTTCCCGCTCACGGAAAAGGAAATAGGTTGCCATATATTAAGAAGTTTGCCAAGTGAACTATTCTTGGCGCACACTGATAAAAAAAAGGCGTCAACATAAATTTGTGAATTTATCCGTAAATTTCACACCAAATTTTAAAAAATTTTATATTTAGGCATAATTTGAGTTGTAGAATCGAAATATGGAAAAAATTAGTATGTTATTTCAGAAAAAGTCCAATTTTGTGTCAAAATAACTATGTTAGAATAGAGCTATATATAAATCTAATATAGACCCTAAGTCGCGCTTTCGAAACATGAAGAACACAGTTTGAATTTTGTTAATCGGCCCAGTAGAACGAGAGATACAGAACTGTCCCCCTTCCCCCCCTCGTAGTGTACATGTAAGATAAGTCTGAACCCCATGTATATAGATCTAAGTATATTTCAAATGGAGTATAATAGCATAAGAATGTTCATAAATTATGAATTCAGAAACAGGAAACTGATTACTATAACAATACATGAGGGAAAGCTGAATTTATGGGGGACTGAGGGAAATTCATAGTTGTAAATGCAAAACTACAACCGCAACAAAAATACAGATTTTTTAAAATTTCACAGATTCATAAAGACCCAATTATTTCACCCATTCATAAAGATTAGAAAAAAAATCGATAAAGATAAGTCCAAGTTTTGAATTTTAAAACTTAATTTCCACAATGTCAGAAGTTAAATTTATTAAATATTTACACTTATTTAAAGAGTATATTTACACATATTTAAAAAATTTTATTAGATCATTATGATGCTCAAATGAAGTTCAGATTTTAGATGTTGAGACAAGAAAATATTATTACACTGAAATACTATATTTCTTACCAATTTAGGAGAATTAGTTTTAGCACCCTGTAAAAGCAGTGAACCTCTGCCCATGCCTAGAGGCTGTGAGCTCCTTTCAATAGCTGGAGGTGAGGAGACTCTTGGTCTAGCTGGAGGAGAATATCCCCTAGCAACAGCAGCTCCCCTTCCAGCAGCATGGTTAGGTACTGGTCGTCCTCTGGAACAGAAGGTAATTATGTGCATGTACACACACTTTGATGTGTATCCACTTAAAGACAGAGCTATACTAATATAATACACACAAGTAAAATAAAGCTTAACACATTAAGTGCCATGTCAATCACCAATGATTGACACTATACTTTCCATTTGGAAAGTATCAGTCACCAGTGACCAATACTATATTTTTCATGCAGGCTGTATCAGTCCCTGTTAACTGATGATATGTAATTAAAAAGAAAACAAATACATATAAGATATGTGATACATAAATATATACAAGAAACATGTCTGAAGTATTTATTGGGTCAGTCCATAAAATCATGCGCATTTTTTTTGGTAAATTTTTAAACAATATACAAACACAATCTAACATTTTAATCAATTATATATTTTCCTCCACTGTCTATAATGTCTTACCATCTTACAGGCAGCTTTTTTATGCCATTGCTGTACAAAGACTGTGGTTTTGATAGGGGGGAACTTGAAAGTTCATTGTGTACATTGTGATATCTGGCGACTGTTTGGCGATCAACAGAGCGTGCTTGGCGCATGTAGCTCTTCTCCAAGAAGGGTTAATGTATTTGAAGGGAGTTGCATGTTAGCCTCGGAAGAGGAAGGTTGTAGATTTTGCCCTGAGGTAGGAGCAATGTACTGCTCCGAGTTATTTACTATGAATTACTATGCTTACTATGCTTTGAATCGAGTTACTTACTATGCATATTTTAATAAATGTTCGTTTCGTCTTGCTAAATGGTGCCTTATTAAACAATGAAGTAATCCCAACACGCTCTCTTACAAGATCACCAGAGAGGTTAGAAGCTTAGAGCGTTGGAAACGGAAGCGGCATAAAGCTAAGCCTAACTCACGAACGAAGTGCGCATTTGCAAAAGGGAGTAGAAACATAGAATTATTTAATCACGAGTTCGAAAAGCTTGATTCTAAAGGGAAATAAAAGAAAATGTTCAAAACCCGAAGAAAGAGGATTTAGTAACAGTTCTATTGGAAATTGGCAAAGGAGCATCCCCAGATTTCAAGCTGGTAGAACTGAAACACAAACTCCAGAATAGCAAGGAATACATCGAAGATGCTGAGTTCATGAAAGAAATTCTGATTACTACAGTGGAGAATAGAAAAAGAAAAGAAGAAATAGAAAGAATACAAATGGAAGAGGAAAGATTAAAAACAGAAAGAGAACACGAAATATAATTAGCGAAGATTCGAGCAACTCAAAATGAAGGAAGTAGAAGTCCGACACCTTCAATCCAAAACACAGAATGAGAAACTGAAATTTCCCTGGACAAGCTGATCAAAGGAGTAGAAACACTGACTATACTAGTATCGAAGAGGGCAGAAGAATGAAATATATTTTTTGATTCTATCGAAAGAGCATTTAAGCACAAGAATGTTCCCGAAGAATACAAATTGGAAATATTATTGAAATTAATTGGAGAAAAAGCTTCAAATGTTCTTGTTTATATAAAGGAGGAAGATCTGAAAAATTACGAAAAAGTGAAAGCTCTTGTTCTGAAGGAATACCAACCTACTCCTCAAACCTGTTTAGAAAACTTCAGAAGAACTAAACGTTATTCCGGCGAAACACATATCCAGTTCGCTTCAAGACTAATAGCTACATGGGACTATTACTGCAAGTCAAGAGAAGTAAAGGATTTCGAAACACTCAAAGAGTTAATTATTTCGCATAAATTATTCCAAGCTTTAGATGAAGAAACAGCTGAACACATCGCAATACGCCAAGGAAATAAATGGCTGAAACCTCAAGAATAAGCTACAGAATATGATATTTATTTCATGGCCAAAGGAAAATCTTTCGACGAAGTTCGAAATGGAATTAAGCGATCACCGAGATTCCTGGATACAACATGTACACAAGATAAATATATTCCACCGCACACGAGAAAAGAATATTCAAAACAAGAAGGATCTCACGTGAGAAGAAAGGAATGTTATATTTGTAGAAGCTATCAACACATCGTAAGAGATTGCCCAGACAAAAGAAGAAAAACGAAACTGCAGTAAATAAGAAGGAAAAGGATGATTCCAAAACTCAAAAAAATTCAAACAGAACATCAAAAGAAGAAGCCAATGTAGCTAAAGTAGACTCATCCCATCTACGATCCGAATTCACAGAACACATCGTTCAACCACTGAAAAAAGTAAACTTGTTTATTAACTCAGAGAAAATCGAAGCTATCGTAGACTCTGGAACGCAGATAACGATCGTACATTCATCGCTCATTCCAAATTTAGAGGAGAGAGAAGGAGGTAAAATATTGCTAACACCTGCTTTCGGACAACCAATTGAAGCAAAAGTTTGCCGTGTACCTATTTACCATAAAGATCATGGAAGCAATATATTTAATTTTGTGGATATATTAATTGCAGTGACTGATAAGCTAAATGTGCCTTGTTTTTAATAACTCCAGAAATACACGAACTGTTGATTAATCCTGCGGTAGAAGAATCAAACGCAGAAGGAAATAATTACGGAAGCGAAAACGCGCAAAGTTTATTCGCCAATGCACAGTCAAACGACAGCATAGAGTACCCCCCGCTAATGCTTATGGAGGAGAAAAACGAAGAGGAGGAAGGGGAGAAGGCGAGAGTTTACGTAAACACAGACTCGTCGTCTGCTGAACGCCTATGTGAAGAGCAAGTTAACTGTCCTTCGCTGAGAGAAGCATGGAAGCTAGCTATAGAAAAAAAAGGAAATTATTTATTTATTGATCATCTGTTACATCACCAAGAAAAAGTATTAGGACAGACTGTTTTTTAGTTAGTGCTTCCGCTTAGTAGAAGAGCACAAGTGTTGGAATTAGCACATAGTTACATTTTCGGTGCACATCTTGGAATAAGAAAAACAAAGAAGAATACGATATTAATTTTTTTGGCCTGAATTAGCACAAGATGTCAAAACCTTTTGTAAAACATGCAAAGATTGTCAAATGAAAAGTCCAGAAAAGCGATCTGACAAGATTCCCATCCCACCGGCCAGAAGGCCAAGATTACCTTTCGAAACAGTTAACATCAACGTTATTGGACTTATCGAACCTCCCTCTGCTAGGAAACATAAATACGTGTTATGCCTGGTAGATTAACATTCCCAATGGCCAGAAGCCATTCCACTGAGAAGCTTGACAGCAAAAGCCACTTGCGACGTGCTTTTGGAGATTTTCATGAGAACAGGAATCCCTAATACAATAGCTAGTGACAATGAAAGTAACTTTGTTTCAAATTTAACTAAAGAATTCCAGAAAAGACTAGGTTCTCACCCTAGGTTCTCTACACCTGCTTACAGTGCTTCAAATGGATTAGTAGAAAGATGGAACAAATCCTTCAAGCAAATGTTACATTATGTCATCAGGACTGATCCTTCGAATTCGGATAAGTACATCCCATACCTGCTCTTTGCATACAGAGAAGTACGAAACTGTACCATGGGAGTCTCACCATTTCAACTGATGTACGGAAGACAACCAAGAGGTCCTATAGCAGTACTGAAATCTTCATGGTCAGGAGAAATACCTATACCACCTAATCTAAATGAATCGGCAGTGGATTACTTACAGCATTTAAAAATAAGGTTAGAACAAGCAGCTGAACAAGCCAATTTAATTGCAAGTGATAAACAACAAAAATATGCTGACTACTTTAATCGGAGTTCAATACCAAAAAATTTCAAAATCGGCGAACAAGTTTATTTACTCATCCCAGATTCAAATAACAAACTCTATGCACGATGGGACTGGACCAGGAGAAAGTCGTGAATCATTGCCCACCTCATTCCTATAAAGTAAAACTACCTGATGGAAAGATCAAACATGTTCACGCAAATAAAATTCGAAAATTCCAAGCTAGCATCAATGCAATTGGATTGATATTCGAAAATGAAGAAGAATTTGGAGAAATTATAACTTTGCCAGGAAAAGATCTCTCGACCCCCCTGGAAGATTTTAAAATAGATGCAAATCTGAATTTAGAAAATTTGAATTTGCAGCAAAGAAGAAAATTGGTAGCTCTTATCAATAAACACCGAACACTATTCACCGGAAAGCTGAAAATAGCTAAAGTTGAAGCTCATAAAATTAGATTAATACCCAATACGGAGAGGGAGAAACCTTACATTTATAGGATTCCTGAAGCATTGAAAACCAAGGTCGATGAAGAAGTCAAAGAATTATTGAAATTGGGACTAATAGATGAAAGTAATGCAGAAATAGCTCATCCAGTAGTTTGTGTAAGCAAAAAAGATGGAAATATCAGATCGTGTTTAGATTATCAAGCTTTGAATGCAGTGACGAAGCCAGATGACTTTCCTATGCAGAACGCCATTGATTTAATGTACAGTATAGGAAGAGCCAACGTCATAACAAGTTTGGATTTACTGAATTCCCATGGAGGAACAAAGTAAAGAGTACACATCCTTCAAAACTCATCAAGGTCAATATCAGCTTAAAGCGCTACACTTTGGACTAAGGAACGCAGCAGCCACTTTTCAGAGAGTAATGAATAACGCGCTGAAAGAATTTCAACAATTTTCAAGAGCCTATATTGACGACATAGCTATATTTTCCACGGATTTCGACACTCATCTCCAACATCTGGATAAAGTTTTCACAAAATTGGATTTACTATCACTTGGATCACTTGGATTTACTATCAATTCAATCGGTTTGGTTCATCGGTGAAAATTGTGACTGATCATAATCCTCTAGCCTTTATAGTGAGAAATGCTCCGCAATCGTCCAAATTACAACAATGGGCCATAGCTTTGCAGACATATAATCTTGAAATAGAAGATTGCCCTGGAAAAAACTGTCGAACGCAGATGCATTATCCAGACTCCTCACCTGTGAACTTTGAACATTAATTTACTGTTCATCTTCACGAACATTTTGTATAGTTAACGATTAGATAGTTTTTCTTTGCTTTTCTTAATAATTTTACAATTTTGTGCAAATAAGATGTTTATGTAAT